AAATCATTTTTATCTTCTTGCATCTTACTGTATTCAGTTAAAAAATCAAAAGTCATGTAGCTCCTTCAGTATCTTACTTAGAAATTTCTTCTACCAGATATCCTAGTTTGTCACTCTTAAAACTCTGCCTTCAATAAAGCCCTTGGGCATGGACATAGCTCACTTAAGTTCTTTACGACTTTGTAATAAGCATGGCCTTTACCCTAGTTTCCAATAAGTCATTTCTCATTTTTGTTTAAGACCTCATCAGGATGACCTTTACTGTGCATATTTCTACCAACATTCTGATCATGACTACTTAAGTAATCTCTAAGACATTCCATACTTTCTTTTTTTTCTTTTTTTGATTTGGAGTCTCACTCTGTCACCCAGGTTGGAGTACAGTGGCACACTCGTGGCCACCGCAGCCTTGACTTTCTGGTCTTTGGCGATCCTTCCGCCTCAGTCTTCCAAGTAGTCAGAACTATAGGCATACGCTACCACCCCTGGCTAATTTTTGATTTGTTGTAGAGATGAGCTCTCACCAAGTTGCCTGGGCTGGTCTTGAACCCAGGGGCTCAGGCAATCCACTCACCTTGGCCTCCCAAAGTGCTGGGATTACAGGCTGAGCCACCGAGCCTGGCCAACATTTCATACTTTCATACAGTCCTCTTCTTCTGGGACTTCATGGCATACAAGGTTTTTCTAGCCTGCTCCTCCAAATTCTTACAGCCTCTGCCAAAACCCAGTTCTAAAACTGCTTCTACAGTTTCCAGCATTTATTATAGCAATACCTTAATCTCTGATGTCCATTTTCTTAGTCAATTTTATGCTGCTATAACTAAGTGCCACAGACTATAATTTATAATAAACTGAAATGTATTGGCTCATAGTTCTGGAGGCTGGAAAATTCAAGATTGAGGAGACAGCACCTGTTAAGAGCCTTCTTGCTACATCATAACATGGTAGAAGGCATCATGTAGGAGAAAGAGAGAGCAAGAAGATTTTGTCCTTTTATGGGAAACCCATTCTCTTGATAGCAACCCCACTCCTAAAATAATAGCATTAATTTATTATGAGGGTGGTGCCCTCATGAGCCAAACACCTCCTATTAGACCTCACACCTCTCAACACCACTGCATTAGTGATCAAGTTTTCAACATACAAGCTTTGGAGGACATTTGCAAACCATAACAGTGTTTTTGAAGTTGACTCTTGGTGTTACATAAGACATAGATAACTTATCACAACCTACTGGTGTAGAAAATGGAAAATGGAAAAAATGGTCTATTATATTTACTGTGTTTTTGCTTACCATGTTCTTTCTTCCCTTCTGATATTCCAAGTTTTCTTCTTTTATCTTTTTTTTGTTTTTAGATAACTTCTCTTAGCAATACTTTAAGGAGGACTGCTGATGATAAATCCTGTCAGTTATTTTATCTGAGATTATCTTGATTTCTACTTTATTCTGAAGGATATTTTCACTGGCTATAGGATTCTAGTTTGATAGTTCCTTTCTTTCAAGGCTTAAAAAATGATGTGCCACTTTTTTCTAGTCTCTAAGTTTTTCATTAGAAATCTGCTGTCATTCTAATTGTTTTCACCCTATTGTTAAGGTATCATTTCTTTCTCCCTGCTTTTAAAATTTGTCTTTACTTTCTAAAAATTTGGCTATGATGAGTCTTAGTGAGGGTTTCTTTGTGTTTATTTTCTTTGGGCTTTGTTCAGATTTTAAAATATGTTGGTTTGTGTCTTTTCTCAAATTTGGGACATTTTTAGCCATTATTTTTTTGAGTATTTTTTTAGCCTATCTTTTTTCTTTTCTTTTCTTCTGGGACTCTGATGACATAAATATTTGATCTTTTGTTATAGCATCATAGGGCTCTGAGACTTTCTTTATTTATTGATTTGTTTGGTCTATTTTTACCCTGTTGTTCAGATTGGGAAATTTCTATTATGCTTTCTTCCAGTTCATTGATTCCTTCCTCTGTCCTTTCCATTCTGCTGTTGAATCCATCTACTGAGTTTTTTTTTTAATTTAAATTGTTGGATTTTTCAGTTCTGAAATTTTTCTTTTTTATATCTTGTATTTCTTTTTTTGAGACTTTCTCTTTTTAATTTTAACCATGTTCATAATTGCACATGAAGCATTTTTATGCTGAATACTTTAAAGTCTTTGGCAGATTTCAGGGGGGGAACCCCGAAAATGCAATTTATTTATAAAGAATTGTGTATTTATTCTTCATGTTTAAACTTCAGTTACTTTCAAGGTACTCTCCCTTTGATGTAATTTCCTTATTGAATTGCTTTTTCCTCTGCTCAAAACAGTTTTTGAACTCATCAATTTTGATGCTTCTGTTGTTTTTTGTTCCAGCTCTTTCACATTGACAAAACAGCTCCATTTGAGGACTGTTTTCATCCCAGGAAACAAAAAATGTTGCCTGTGGTGAGATCAGATTAATGGGCGGGGGGGGCGAGGCATGGGGGTCATCCCATTTTTGGTTAAAAACTGCTGAACACTCAGCACGGTGTGGGAAGGTATGTTGTTATGGTGGAAGAACCAGTTACCTCTTTGCCACAACACAGCATCTCACAACAATGCTAGCTGGGACACTGATGCTGATAGGCTTACCTAGTGGGGGAAGCTTATACTACAAAGGGCCCACCCTCCAAAAGATTATCCCAGTGTTCTTTGGGTCCCCTCTCATATTTTAATTGACATTGATTGTCTTTTTTTTTTTTTTGAGTTTTTTTCTGGCTCTTGATATGATGAGTAATTTTGAACTGAAATCCAGACATTGTGAGTATTACATTATGAGACACTGGATCTCATTTAAACTTTATCTTTTAGCTGACTTTCTCTGATACAGTTCCAGTGGGGGAAGGGGGAGTGCTGCTTTGTTTCTGCCAAGTGAGGGTAGAAGTCTAGATTTCCCACTTGGCCTTCTTTGACCCTTCAAAGAGGGATGTGCTCTTTGTTACTTCTGGTTTGGAGTGGGAGTCTTGGCTTTCCACTGGCCCTCCAAGGATACCTCCCTGGCTGGGTGGGGGTAGTAGTACCTCATTGTTGCTCCCCACTTGACTTCAATTGATGCAGGAGAAGGGAGCAGCCTTGTTTCTGCTGGACATTGGCAAGAATATTGACTGTCTACTAGGCTTCCTGTGAATTCACTCCAGCAGTGGGGAGATGGGATGCTTCATTATCACCAGGTGGGGTTGGGTGTCCAGGCTGCCCATGTGATTTCCACTGTGCCCACAGCAGAGAAGGATGGGCTTTGTCATTGCCCAGCAGTGACAGATGGCCCTGCTCCCTACTCAGCCTTCTCTGATACTTCCACACTGGTGAAGGAAGGAGAGGGGGTGGGTGCTTTGTTACAGCTGGGCAAGGATAGAAGTCTTTGCTCCTTGCTCAGCTTTAGCCAGCATGGTGGAGAAGGACAAGTTTTTACTGTGTTGTTGGCTGCAGTGAGAAGTTGTTGTCTAACAAATTTCTATCTTGCTAGGTTACCCCTTTCTTGGTCTTTTGTCTATGGAGACCAGGCTTTTGTTGGGGCTTTTGTTGTTGTTGTTTATGCCTGTTGGTGTTTTAGACTGCTGGTTTCTTAAGCTCCCAGTCTGGGAAATGTGAAGCAAAACATCCTCATCATGTCGTTCCTCAGGCCTGGAGGTTCCCAGCCATTATGCCTTTTTTCCTCTTTTTATTTTATTTTGTTTTTTGAGTTGGAATCTCACCTTGTTGTCCAGGCTGGAGTGCGGTGGCAGGCTTGTGGCTACTGCAGCCTCAACCTGCTGGGCTCAAGTGATCCTTCTGTCTCAGCCCTCCAAAGTAGCTGGAACTATAGGCGCATGCCACCATGCCCAGCTAATTTTTTAAAAAATTATTTTAGAGATGAGGTCTCACCAGGTTGCTCAGGCTGGTCTCAAAACCCTGGGTTAAGGCAATACTGCTACCTCTGCCTCCACCTCCCAAAGTGCTGGGACTACAGGTGTGAGCCACTGCACCTGGTGTTCCCCTTTTTCGATTCTAATATTTGTTTTATATATATACTGTCCTAGATGCTTAGTTGTATTAGCTAGAACAATTGCTAAAATACATGTACTCCATTTTCCTGGAAGCAGGAGCCCTATCTCTTACTTTTTTAATATGTCATCTGTTTTTAAATATTTCACACCTATATTATAGTCTCTGACCATCCCAATAGTCGAAGTCCTTCAGGCTCTTTATATGTTGTTTCTTCTTTCTCTGTACTCTTAAATCTTGGTGATTTACTTTGTGCGTATCTGTGTACATGCATGTTGGAGGTGGGAAGAGAGGAAGTGTTTGTGAGAGGCTGTGAGAGTGAGGAAAATAGCATTAAATTAGGAGTGCTTTGCTTCAAGGAGAATTTTCATGCTCCTGTGATGTGAGGCAGGGGATGCCAACAGGTTGGCTGGGACCACTTCATCTCTTCCTCCATCATCCAGATTCTTTCCCTGAATGGGGAAATCTCATGTTCGAGTTCCCCACTTTCCTGTGGACCTAACACTTGGATGTCAAGCTTGATGGCTGTAATAGTTGCCAGGACTCAATACTGTCTCCATGTTTGTTGTTTATCCCTTTTCATATTTCTGTTACTTTAGTCTGCTTGTTTGAGGAAGGCTAAGAATTATGGGTAGAGAAACCATAATTCTGTTACTTAAAAAAGATGTGTGGGTGTGGAGAAACCATAATTCTGTTACTTAAAAAAAATTGTGTGTGTGTGTGTATGTGTACAAAAGAAGGGTGTTGTCATTATTTCAGGTTCTGATCTGTAGTAGGAAAGTCTTCAGAGTCTTTTTTTTTTTTTTTTTGCCGTGTTTACTGGTCTGCTTATATAAGTTTCCTAGTAACTCCCAGGATTGTCTGTATTCTTTTGCTAGAAGTTTCTGCTACTAATGTCTCTGCTTTTTCTGGTGTTGTCTTAAGTAAAGAGATTAGGGGGTAATTATGAGGCTATGTTCTTAGTATATTTTATTGATATGTTTCTTAATGTTCTCTTTAGGGCCGAAAAGACTGAAGTTCTGAGCGAAGACCTTCTTCAGGTAAGGTTGTCACTTTCTCTGGGCTCATAGATATAAAAGATGTTTTCCCTCTTAAAACTAACCCATTCCCAGTGCTATTCAAGCTGCTCCAGCTACTCATACAAAATGTTTAGAGATAACAGTTTTTTGTCTCTTATGACAGTATTTGCATGTTGAATATTGGTTTAGGTAAGATCTTTCAGGAGAGATCTAAAGTAATTCTGTCACGTGACTACCAGGAGGGTACCAGAGTCTACAATCGCTGCCCATCCAGTTCTCCAGTGTTGGAAGTTGTCTCTCCAGGAGTCCTTGTCTCTTTGGAAACATGGGTTGTGATTGTCCATGCCAGCCATTCCACTTTCCAAGACCTTGTTCTTTTCTAGTAGCTCCTCTGTTCTGTCTATAGGTGGAGAAGCGTCTGGAGCTGGTGAAGCAAGTGTCTCACAGCACGCACAAGAAACTCACCGCATGTCTGCAGGGTCAGCAAGGGGCAGAGGCTGACAAGCGCTCTGTAAGTGTTCTTCTAGCTGTAAGAGGCTTCAAACTTGCCTACTGAGGACAAGGATCCCATTCCTGGGGCCCTGTTTGGTAGCTGTTTATGTAGCCTTTTATGTTTCAGGAATCCACCAAGCAGTCTTAGCTGCCTGTTTCTGCACAGTGGCAATCTTCTCCACTGTTCTTGCTCTTTAGCCCCTCCTGAAATACCCCGTGCCCTCTCAGGCAGGGTGGGATCCCTCTCCTTGTCCTTCCCACAGTGGAACAACCAGGTGGAGAGCAGGGGTATGTCTGAGAGCCCACCTCCCTGGATGCACTACCTTTGATGGATATCTTACCGGATTCAGCTTATTCCTGGGTTCTGTTTGCCTCAGTAGTATCTTAAGCTCTCATGGAAAAAAATTATACTGTAGTTTTAGAGATCATAAGTGACCTGTAAAGGCCTTTGAAAATTGTTTTCACCGTAATGAAACAACAAAGAGAGCCTGCTAAATGCACCTACTCTAACATCTTTGTATGTAACCTACATTAGTGATAACAGGCATTCTGTGTGATCCCATTTAACAGTCCCTGGTATAAACAATCTTTTCAGGTGTCCTTCCCTCTTGACTCTACCCTTCCCAAAGATTAAAGGATATTCTTAGACATTCATTTGACTTTATTACAAGGGATATAACATCTAGCAGCTTTTTTTCTCCTTCCTTGAGTTTATAATCTACGTTTGGTGTCTGCTAGATATTTTTTTTTTAATGTGGAGTTATTGTTGACTTCTGCTACTCCTGTTCCCCTCAACCTACATTAGCCTCATTTCTGTTGACTGTCATATAATACACCCCAATACATCCCCCCCATCTTTTTCTGTAGTTCAGAAACCTGCTCTGCTTCCTCTGTCAGTCATTCCTTTTTCTTTTCCAAACCCTGGTTTCTTCTTTCTTAATATTCTCAGCAGGAACCACTTGTGTGGTATAAATAAAACTTTCACAGCTCTGAAAAATATCTACAGAAATAATTCTGTGTATAAGGAATTTCAGCAAGGGGAACCTGAACAGCCTAAGGGGAGAGTTTGCAAAACCACTTTGGACATGAAACCTTTTTTCAAACTAACATCGAATGGGGGACTCCAGGAGTGCTTCCGGATGCGGGGGCTGGATCCCAAGCCTACCTTTGATCCAGGTCTGTTCTTTTGTTCCAAGAGGTACTGTTTTTAAAATAGCTGGCCCAAAGTACAATGTGTGTTGGTATTAAGAGTAGCATCTGAATGTTACCACCAGTGGCTTGAAACTAGTCTTTGATGTTGGTAAGTGGATTAGTACTAGTGTTATTTTTTCTAGGATAAGACAAAGTTACCTAGATTTGTGACATTTTCATTGGATAGAGTCTTGTACATTATATTCGTATGGAGACATTTGGGTCCCCAAGTGATTTAAAATATAGTGTACAAGGGGGAGACACCCCCCAAAAAATGAAATTATTTTTTGAGAGGGTGGACGCCTTGTAATACAGGTTTCCTCTGCTAGGTAAGTATTCTAGGAACCCATTGGCATCAGTGTACCAGCTAGTGTTGTGAGAGGCTGCATTTGGCTTCAGTGAATTTTCCTTTTGGTGATTCCTTCAACACATTTTGCCCATTTCATGATAGGGGAAACAACCCACACCGCGTTGACTGTTCAACAGTTTTTGACCAAAAACGATATGACTCCCATGCCCCACCCTCCTAATTATTCACCTAGTCTCACCCCAGCACCTTTTTTTTGTTTTCCTGAATGAAAAAGTCCTCAAAGGGAAATGTTTTGCTGATGTGGAAGAGGTGAAACAAAGGCAGAAGCACTAAAAGGTATCAAAATTGATGAGTTCAAAAATTGTTTTGAGCAGTGGAAAAAGCATCTCGATAGGTGTATTGCATCACAGAGGGTACTTCGAAGGTGACTGAAGTTTAAACATGTAAGTATAAATGCATAATTTTTTATAAATAAACTCTGGGTTTTTTGGGTCTTCCTTCTTATTAATGGAACATCTGAGATATAGTCAGCCCAGGAGATCAGGAGATGATTGCTGTTGGAAAAATAGTTTGCTATTCAGAGGTTCCAAGAGGAGGAGACCCACCACACTGTGCAGGGATATGTGGGGAGGCTCCAGGTCAGTCAGGAGGCAGAAGAGAGGAGAGCTGTGAACAAGACCCTGAGTTGTGATTTCTGTGGACAGAACAAGTAAGCAGGTTTAGGATTTGTTAGTTTTAATCACTTTAAATGGCTCTGAGACATAAGGCCTTTTTTTTTTATTTTTTTTGTGCCTGGTACCTGGACCCCACTCCAATGTGGTGATTAGGGAAGATGGAAGTGGTCTGGGGTGTGAGAGCCTGATAAAGGAGTTTGCTGAAGCATGGGCTCTAGGTTAGTTGTTTTGCATTAAAAAGCATGCTTTCGGTGAGTTGTTTACTATCTCTAGGAATTTACTAACCCCTCCAGAGTCAGCAGGGCCCCTAGATATTAAATCATCTGAAAACAGAAGACAAAAGACATGGTTAATAAATACACTGATTAATAGAGACTTTAGCAAAAAGGCACTTAGTATCTCATTTAACAGAATGTCTGAAGTAGCCAGTTCCAGAATTTGTTCAGCAGCTTTGAGTCAGCATCTCTGTGATGCTTGGGTTTTTCCTTATGGCCGCAGGCAGGGAGTGAGAGGATGGTGAGAACATGAATTACTTTATTTTATGCTTACTAGCTGCAAGGGAGGCCAAGAAGGTGACTGTGTGTCAGAGACAAATGAGTTTGCTGTGACTGGCCACAATTCACATGCTGGGATGCACTGTCCAGCTTCTCTCAGCAGGGAAGACATGCAGTGGTTGTTGTCAGGTTCTGTAGGCTGCAGCCGCACGCGTGTGGTGATAAACGTGTAAACCAGACACCTATTTAGTTGACTGAGTAGAAGTCTATAGTGGAGGTAGGTGCTCAAGCGTGTTTGGATCAGTGATTTTACTGCACAGATTGCAGGTGCTTGATTTTTGCCAGTGATTTATTGGCTGGTTTATCTTTCCTTATCATATGACTGAATAAATGGTCTGAAAGTCAAAGAGCCATTCAAAATATGTAACATTCACAGAACTGCAAAGGAAAAAAAAATGTCAAGGTCTAGCCTCAAATTATTTTTTCCAGTTTTTTTCCCCTAAAGTAACACATCAAGAGATTTAGTAGAAACACAACACTTATAAATTGCCTCAAATGCTGAAATATATACCCAGTTCTTTGTGATGATTAGGTTTGGGAGATGTGTTGAGATCTAAGGATTGAGTGGAAAAGACAAGAGTTAAAAGGAAAGAAACTAAAAAAAATGAAAGTGATCGAGTAAAGGGCGGGATAGGGGGTGGGGAATAAATGAGCAAACATTGGCCAGGGAAATTTGGTGTTACAAGAAGGGTAAGAGATGGACACTCACAGAGGGAGTGAGGCCAGTTGAAGTGAGCGTGTGGGTTATAGAATCTCAGGATCAGGAGGGACTTCATGGGGACCCATGCAGTATTCTGTGTTTTATTTGAGCACATGTAAGTTGTTGCTTTTTGTTACTTCTCTTCTAACCAGATCCTTAGCTCTTTAGCCATTGCGTCATGGTTTCTAACACTTAAAACTTTTATCATGCACCTTTAAAAGTTTGGCCCTGAAAACTTGCTGGCTGCCAGGTGGGAGTAGGCTGAAATATGGAGTTTTTTTGTCACTGACTAAGTGACCAGAGAGAGCATTATTGTCTTGTGAGTACTGAGTAAAACTGATTCCTTATGTGGGATGAAGAATAGAAAGGATATGAATTATGTTTCCTTTTTGCCTTTGTTACTCCAGCCTAATATCTGGCTGGTTAATAGGTTTTTAAGACTCTCAAGGTAATGAAGATGTTTGGTTTTCGAAGTCCCCGAATTTCTTACAAGGAAGTCACATCCAACCAGTAAACTGCTGGTGGGTGAAAGTGTTTCTCTACCTTAATCAACAAATACTTAGAAATTACCAAGTCTGCCTTGCAATGCAGTACATATGCCAAGCGATGAGCAATCCGTGTTCCAGATCCCTGTGCTCTGAAAGTTCACCATCTAGAGAGAAGCAGGCATCACTCTGAGTGCATTCAGTTCTCAGATCATGTCTTGGTGCTTAGAAGAATAACTTATTAGGAATTTGATCGTAGGAGGTTTTTATGAGGAAGTGGCCATTAAGGATAAGTAAAAAGTAGTAGGACTAAAAGGGGGTAAAGTGCTTCTAGAACAGGGGATGACAGGTGCCAAGTTCCCAGAGACAGGAAGGAGTTTGGCATTTTTGAGAGACATAAAGGTGAACAGAGTGAGTAGACTGTAGAGGAGGAGGATGTGACTTGAGATGGGACTGCAGGGGACTGGATGACACCTCCTAGGCCATGGTGAGTATTTGGACTTTATTCCTAAGAGCAGTGGAAAGTCAAGATTTTAACAGGGAAAGACATGGTTGTTGCCAATTGTATGAGTAATGGATTGATGGAGTGGGGGCCATGATAGTGGTGAGAGACCAGTTAAGACAAATATAGGAACGCTTTAGGTGAGATGCCAAGGGACCCGTGAAGATGGAAAGAAATCAGCATACATGGTAGATATTGGTGGTAGAGTATTCAGAGTTTGTTCACTGAATGGAGGTGGGGATATGAGGAGAGGGGTGTCAGTCTCTGTCTTGTGCAACTGTTGAATCCATGAGAACTGCTGAGATCTCCTAGGGAGAAAAATACAGAATGAGAAGACAAATGGTCCTTGATTCAAGAACCCCAGGAATGGCAGCATTTCAAGCTTTCACAGGAGGAGAACCCAGCAAAGAAATCAAAGTAGAGAATGGTTCTGTAAATCCACCCACCTGCTCACATCTAGATCCTAGACATTATCCTTTATTCTTCCTTTTCCATATCCCCCACGTCCAGGCTGTTAGCAAATCCTGCTGGCTTTTTCTCCAGAGAATTTCCGTTTTGCTTCAACATTTACTACCCAAGTCCAAGCAGCTGTCAGCTCTTCCT